GTACACCTGGGTCTTGCCGGCGGGGTGCGTGGACCCCTCGTCGGCGAGCCTGACCCGCTCGAAGCGCTGGCCGTCGAAGCTGTAGTCGGCCTCCAGCGGCTGGGTGTTCCTGACGCTCATGGCCCAGTTCTTGTTCCGGACGGTGAGCGTGAGGGAGAGGTTGTAGGCGAAGGCGGTGGCGGGGGACGTGGCCAGCGCGAGCCGCGTGAGGGAGGCGTCGACGACGGCGACCTCGGGGCGGCGGATGAAGCCGTAGGCCGCGAGGAGGACGGCGAAGAGGACGACGGCGGCGAGCACGGCGAGGCAGGCCGCGCAGCAGAGGATGGTCTCGCGCGCGTCGTAGGAGACGCAGGGGCAGCAGCAGTCGCAGAATGCATCGTAGCAGCCGCACTCGCTGCAGCACATGGCTGGCTGTGGCTTACCCTGCCTGGATCTTGAGCTGAGCTAGATCTTGGATGACACTGCCGGACTGACGGGAGGACGAAGGCAGGAGGTAGGGGGTGGCGGCTTTTTGGGGTTTCAGCTACCAGTCGATACGGATTGGGGAATTGCGGATTTACTTTTCACTCGATGTGACTCTTCAACCTACCGCAGGTGGTATGGTTACCGGGCGTACGGCCATGGTGAACAACGATAGCCTCGGTCCACAATCGGACCATGTCCGCTGACCATTTTTACGTGACAGATGTCTAAACTCTCTGACGTTTTTGGAGGTAGCCTTGAGATCCCCCCACCCCACCTCACCCCACCCCACCCCAACCGCCCTCCAGGAATTTAGTCCAAGCTCTTGTCACTACTTTGAAGGTACCCTCAAGACCCTACCACCAAACAGAGGCTCCGTCTGGACAAAGCCTATGCGGCTATGCATACTAAGGCTGTGTTCGGTTTCTCTCTGCTCCGTTAACTCCGCTCCCGGAGCGGACCATTCTTTAGCTTAATTAGGCGGAGCTGCCAAAACCCAACTCCCCAACTCCACGGAGCGGGGAAGTTTCGAACAGGGCCTAACCTTAGTGTCTTTGTATTATTTGATGAAGAATGGCTAGAGCAGCTTAGGCAATCGCCCCGGGATGCTGGGAGTTAGCTCTGCCCCTGTCTAACACGGTTGGACGTAGCCTTAAGGCCCTACCACAGACGTCTTTGGAGGTAGCCTTTTAACCCATCGCCAACATGGGCGACAATGGTAGACTTCTGCCATGTTAGCATGGTAAGCAGCTACAGACCGAACGTGGTCCAAGGGCTACCGCCGTTGACCATGGTGGTAACTCATTAACCCTACTAGCGTCGGTTGGCGGTAGAATCGAGGGTCGGATCATGGAAAAAATTCAGAAGGGGGTTAGAGCATACCTGACTTTGCTAATAAGGTCAAAATAGTGATTTTCGTTGGGGAAAACTTCGAATTGGTTGGTTTCATCGTGTTTTAGTAGCTACGACTGATGTGGGCTCAAGCTTTTTATCATACACTTCCATGTGGGCTCAATCTTATTGTGTGTAGGGTGACAGTTCCTTTTCTAATGGAGCGCCAAAACCAGACCCTCCACCCCCCATATGTCTGGGCGGACAGCTTGGACACCTCCTAGACCCAAAAATGTCATCCAACCGGACCCCTCAAACCCTGCTATCCAACACCCCTCGTATCTAGCTCACATGTGGGGAAGTAATGAGGTGGTTCGAACACAACAACCATGTAGGATCTGGCCCACCTCGACACTACAAAACCACCACCTCGATCAAACCCTAGCTCCTTGTCCGCCCCGCTTCCACAGTCCCCCCCCCCCC